ATGGGAAAAAATATGACATTCAGTTTTACTGTCTCTCTACTTTTTGCAGGTGTTCTTATTGAATATACTTCTGTATTTTCAGTATGTTAATTTATACTTTCTACCCTTTCTATTCTCTTTTTGTATCTGCATAGATTGGAAATGATCTTTTACAGTTTAAACAATTTTTCTAGGGCTGGATATTTGTTTTTGTTTCTTCCATTTTCTTTGTTGAAATATTTGCACTTAATTAGGATTTTAGTTATGTTGCATGCTGTCACATTGTTTTTAGAATTATTAAATTCATTAATTCTAATTGTTGAAAAAATTCTACACTTGCTTCTAAATTCATATCATAATCTTGTAGCCATTATAGGATGTTTGTATGTAATATCATGCATGATTTCCATTAGTCTTCAAAGTCTTTCAATCTGTGTAAACATTGCATTATGGTTTCATTTGGGTTCTGTCTATTTCCCAGAAATTTTGTTCTTTCTGCAATAACCAGCTTCTTTTTTTTTTTGGTCACATGTTTCTTTTTCCAATGGTTGAAATTTCTTCAATTTTTCCAGTATTTTGGGGTACATTGTAACGGATATTTTCTTTATGGCTTCACATCCTGCCAAAGCCAAAAATAAATCAGTAATTTCATTCTCCTCTCTGGAAGGTTTCTTGTCTTTCAGTTTCTTTACCCTAGCCAATGCTGCTAAACATCTTATCCACATTTCTATGTGCTCCGGTTCATTCAACAGGGTTAGGATTCCTATCAGTGATGCCATATTTTTATGAAGTAACATACTGTCTGGAATAGACTGTCTGGTCAGCAGACAGTAGCTTGACTGGCATTTGCTGTGGTGTACTACTTTTATAGCAGTACCTCATTTACATACAATACTATAAAAGGCATGTTTATAAATATTCAAATTGACAAAGTAAAAAAGTTCATACGTTTTTTGGGACCTTTCTTTCTCTCTCTCTCTCTCTCTCTCTCTCTCTCTCTATCTATCTATCTATATATATATATATATATATATATATATATATATATCAGGGACGTGCCTGGCATACAAGATTGGCAATTCCTACCCTGAATAAAATACATCAGCAGCTACATTTTTTTGTAGATTTACTGCATAAAGGTTACAAGCTGCCTGTCATGACTATTTACTGGCGGCACATGCCTGATGTATATTTTTATTTGTTTTTCAAGCTAACATAACTCATCATATTTTTTTAAATAAAAAAAAACAGTCAAACTAAATCCCTTTCATTATTCAAAATAAATGAATAGATAAATATTTTATGAAATTAAAATAAAATAATAATTACATTCTAAATATGTTAACAAATTTCAACAACTACAATCACAACATTTACTCACTTTCGTTTATTAAGCATTAAATTATGTCACTTAGAATCTTCCATAGTTTACCTTGAGTTTCACAGTTCAGCCTGAAGAATGTTTATGTGTGTTCCCAAATTTCCACATTTTGAAAACCTAACGAGATTTTTTACTTCTGTTTATAAATACTCTTTGCAAAATGAAATCCTTACATTTGCCTTGATAAAGTTGATCAGAGGACGAAACGCGTCGGTAAAGAAAAGTTTTTTCTTTTGTCTTTATTCATATACCAGGTTGAGTCAAAAGTTCTTCGGATTTTCACTGATGATTTTTGGCAATTCGTATCTTCATGTTAATATCAGGAATTTGATACATCGTCTTGTCCAATAGTTGCTGAATTATTTATTCTTTATTTTCTTATATAACATATAAACATCAAGAGTTTATACTTTATTTTGCAGCTTTGATATTGAGACACAGAAAAATTGCAATAAAAGCCACTTTTACGCTACCTGTCTACAAGGGAGGCGGCAAAATAAGTTAATAATATGGAAGACCCCAGGAACTCCAACAAAGGTGCGGCACAAAACTGGTTCAGGTGTTTCAAGGAAGGTGACACCAATCTAGAAGGGAAAACAAACCAAGGTCAGCAAGACGTTCCGTTGTGGAATATGAGGACTTGCTTGAAATGATTGAAAAACAACAGAGAGCAAATACTTGTAAACTATCTGCAAAGCTTCACAAACACCATGAATTGAGTTCTGATAAACTCGGTTATGAGAATGGATGCTTTCGTAAGGTTCCCCAAGTGCTGACCAATGACAGGCTCAGCGACGGGTGAACATTTGCAAACAACTGCTGGCAAATCTTCAACTTGTCCGTTTTTGGTGTCGAATTTTAACTGTGGATGTAAAATGGGTCTATTTTCGCAATCCTAATAAGACAAAGTAGCGGATTCGTTCTAGCCAGGCTACCTTTCAGTCAGGTTTCCTTCCAACCATGCTTCCTTTCAGCCAGGCTTCTTTCCAGCCAGGCTACCTTTCAGTCAGGTTTCGTTCCAACCATGCTTCGTTTCAGCCAGGCTTCGTTCTAGCCAGACTACCTGTCAGTCAGGTTTCGTTCCAGCCAGGCTTCGTTTCAGCCAGGCTTCGTTCCAGCCAGGCTACCTTTCAGTCAGGTTTCGTTCCAACCATGCTTCCTTTCAGCCAGGCTTCGTTCCAGCCAGGCTTCGTTCTAGCCAGGCTACCTTTCAGTCAGGCTTCGTTCTAGCCAGGCTACCTTTCAGTCAGGCTTCGTTCCAGCCAGGCGTCGTTCCAGCCAGTTTCGTTTCAGCCAGGCTTCGTTCCAACCATGCTTCCTTTCAGCCAGGCTTCGTTCCAGCGAGGTTTCGTTTCAGATAGGTTTCGTCCTTGCCCGGCTTACTTTCAGTCAGGTTTCATTCCAACCAGGATCGTTTCATCCAGGCTTCGTCTGAATCAGGTTTTGTTTTCCCCAGGCTTCGTCTGAGTCAGGTTTCGTTCGAGCCAAGCTTCATTTCAGCCAGGCTTCATTTCAGCCAGGCTTCGTTTCTTTCATTCTACGTTCCAGCCAGGCATCGTTTCAGCCATGCTTCGTTTCACGCAGGCTTCTGAACCTGTTGTCAAACAAGGTCGATTTGAAAAGTAGGCCATGTTGTGTATTTGGTGGAATTTCGAAGGTGGTGTTTCATTTTGAGTTTGTCCCAGATGGTCATTCTGTGAACGCTGACCTTTATTCTCAACAACTGTATCGAATATAGGATGCCATGAAAGACCACTACTACTAGGGTTTGGTCAATGGGAGACGTGCACTCCTACAACATGACAATGGCCCCAGTACACACTGTCAAAGTAACTAAGGGCAAACTTGAGAAATTTATCGGCTGGAAGTGCTGCCTTAACCTGCCTACATTCCACACATTGCAACATCAGATGATCACCTTGTTTCTGTGCGGACCAATCTTCAACAATGTGGATGAGGTTGAAAATGAGTACAGGGAGATTTTTTTTGCCTCTAAACAAGCCAAATGGTATAAGTGTGTAATTCAACCAATAGAATATGATAGAAGACATTTTGATGAATAAAAGCTTTCCGTATGCAATTTGCTTGAACTATTAGTTAAAGCTTGAAATAAAAAAAAAAAACACAACCTAATATATATATATATATATATATATATATATATATATATATAATTATTTTTTTCATATAAAGAAAAGCAATTTACTCACTACAAAGTTGCAACTTCGTTTCGGTGCATTTAGTTACACCTCAATTGGTGAAAACCAAAATCAGTCGAGGTACAAACAAAATGCACCGTAACGAAGTTATATCTTTGTAGTGAGTAAATTGTTTTTGTCTAGATTAAAAAAATATAATAAATAATTATTTCTCTACTATCGGTATTGAGTCCCTTTTGAATTAAAGCTGTGAATGTTAGAATTATATATTATTTTCGTTCTCATTACATTCGGATATATATATATATATATATATATATATATATATATATATAAAAGTGAACATAGAAGTCAAGTTTAGTGGCGACAGTCTGTTTCATCTATATGCAATCGTCAGGCCTGACGATTGCATATAACATGAAACAGACTGTCGTCCTCTATGTGTTGACTTCTATGTTCACTTTTATATTTAACACGCTCTATCTCTGATATTGACCATTTTATCCCATAAATATAGCATATTTAAAACTATATTTATTCATTTATATATATATATATATATATATATATATATATATATATCTTAGTATGATATATAAATAAATAAAAATGATAGTATGATATATCTTAGATTGATATATAAATAAAGCAAATGATGGAAGACAAGAACAAATCTGCGAATGTGCTATGAAACGAAACGGAGAAAAATTAACACCACAAGAAATGGAAGGATTACAGTCAAAAAGTTGAGAAAAAAAACTAGTAAATTTCAAGAGAAAATTTATTCAGGATGACTCAGAAAGGCATTCTTATATTTGTAATTATCATTAATTCACTCTTTCTAAAACCAATAAGAATCGATCCTACTTTTCTCTTATACGTACACAGGCACGTAACATTGTCACTATCGGACAAGCAGTCAACACAGGCCGCCAAAACATCATTCATTCGACAGCAGTGTGGATCATTGAGCCAATGAAAACGGTTCTTTCTTTAGCTACATAATATGTGCTACGCCAGCTCTACATGCCGTTCTGAATTCAGAGTTACTTTCTCCTAGACCACGTTCGGTTGTATAGCTCATTCGCATATTTGTTTTTGTCTTTCATCATTGGAATAACTTTGGAGGCTGATTAATCAGCGTCTTTCTTTATCTTGAAATGGATTGTCTCTTGAGTTTCGTGCTGTTTTTTAAAACATTCCTTTTTCGCTAGTAATAATCATAATAAGCCGTTTCGAATCTATATCAGTCATCACATTTCTTTTGTTTAAATTCTTATATTACCTTAATTTTAGTATCTTTAAGAAATCCCTTTCTTAGGCAAGCATACATTCACAATTTGAAATCATTAGTAGATGACTCACAAGGCCGGAAATAAGGGACATTCGGTGAGGATCGAACTCACTATTTAGTCGTAATAGTTCTAGCAAGACAAGCTTGCTAACATTACCACATGTCGGGGTGCTTATTACTAATCTATGTTGAAAATCTGGTTCCCGTACGAGCACCGAAGTTAAGCAACGTCGAGACTGATCAGTACCTACATGGGTGACCGCTTCGGAATACCAGGTGCTATAAGCTTGGATGTATTGGTGGTATAATGGATGATGTCCCGGAATTGTTAATTGGAGATCCGAGTTCCAATTCCAGTTGGGTTCATTATATTCATTTACGCGCACATAACCTTGGGAAAGGGATGAATCTACCTCTTCTCTACCCAGCTATGGGTTAAATAGTAAGGCTTGTATCACTAAAATCATTATTATCTCAAAGACAAAAAAGATTCTTGTAATGTAAAAATATTTGTCTGGCTTTAAATAACCTCCAAAGGGTTGATAAACCGTAGAAAACAAATCAATCCATCATAATCCACGCATCAGGGAAACCATGACGTGGGGTAATAGCAAGTTTGTATTACTAAAAAAATTAAGACTGAGTAGTAAGTACGATTCTCACTAGGTGCCCCATATTGGAAAATATGTTCAAAAAGCTAAGCAAAGTATTAAGATATAGAAAAGTTTCTTTAGCAGCAACGATAAGAAAATTGGATGTCTATGTAATATCAATCATCTTATCTAGTAATGAATGTTTAATTGTTAAGGAAGCAGGCTTTTAATTAAGCGGAATTAAAGAAATTCTCAAGAACAATAAAAAGAGGCGACAAAAGAACAGGGCAAAATAATATGAGACAAAACTATGTAAATGCAAGGTTTGTCTATTTCCAAAGCGGTATGTCAGCATTTTAAGTGTCATTTAACGCCGAAATTTAAAATTCTTGGGAGCATTAAGCAATTTTACTTACAAAAATGTTTGCTGGTAATCTTTTTACTATGAGAATGTATTGCAGATATTTTAATATAAAAATGTATTTCTATACTTTCATAGTGTTTTGCCCCCATATATATATATATATATATATATATATATATATATATATATATATATATATATCCAAGTAAGATGAAAACAAATGAAGTCCGGGAGGATCAATGCAGAGCAGAGTTAAGTTTTATTTATTATAGGAAATTAAAACAAAAATGTCCGAGAAAGTTTCATAGAAAATATTCGTTCATAGACAGGATTCGAACCTGCATGATATACGGAACCGTCATATACGCTGACGTGCCTTGACCACTCAATATATGAAAATTTCTCGGACATTCAGGCCGGTAAATGTTATTTAATACTGTTTATCATAAACAGAGCATTTGCTTAAATACTTGTATCTATAAAATAACAACGTTAAACATAAATAAAAATGTCTTTAATAAATAAATTGTCGGACCTCGTCCATTTCTTAACATATGACGTCATTTGTTTACATTCGATACGCCAGAGCAGTTATGAATGTACGAGATTCATTGAAGATTGTAGTTTATAACAGTAAATTCGACCTTGTCTACCATAAGGTTCATGGTGGCCGAGTGGTCAAGGCACGTCAGCGTATATGTCGGTTCCGTATAGGATGCAGGTTCGAATCCTGTCTATGAACGAATATTTTCTATGAAAATTTCTCGGACATTCAGGCCGGTAAATGTTATTTAATACTGTTTATCTTAAACAGAGCATTTGCTTAAATACTTGTATCTATAAAATAACAACGTTAAACATAAATAAAAATGTCTTTAATAAATAAATTGTCGGACCTCGTCCATTTCTTAACATATATATATATATATATATAGAAGGAGAGGGAGAGAGAGAGAGAGAAGGAGAGAGAGAAGGAGAGAGAGGAAGAGATTAATATAAATAAAATGTTTGTCACTTAGTTGATTGATGTTGCCTTCATCATCCCGACTCCAGAGTTTCGTTGACGGATCCGTCCGTTCACTCGTCAGGAGCTATCAGCGCCTAACTGCTTATATTTCTTGATTTTTCTTTTTTATATACACCTATCATTGGTGCAAGTTTTTTTTTTCACAGTCTGTGTATGAGTTCGCGCGCATGTGCCTATGCTCCCCTCTGCGCGGATGTGCATACGTTTCGGGTGTCAGGATTATTTGTCCTTTTCTTCATTTTTTTGTCCACTCTACATCAACTCCTTAGCATTTTTTTTCTGTTTTTTTTTTCCTTTTTCCTCTTTTCTTTCAGTCGTTGCCATTTCTTGCTATTTGATTTTCGTTTTTTTTTCTAGACATGTTTTCCTTTTTAATTTCTGATTATTTTAGTATTTTCTTGAGTTAGGAAAACTGTCTTTCTTTTTTTACATAAATAATTGATTTTAATTCTTAAATGATAAAGCAAATATTTATATATGTCTTCACACGGCTATTATTTCGTTTTCTTATCTGATTTGTTTTATCTACTTATATATATATATATATATATATATATATATATATATATATATATATATATATATATATATATATAGTTAGATAGTATGTGTGAAAATAGTTGTTTACACTGGTTTTAAACGCAATCGTCAAGTTATGTGTACTAGTCTATTTTTATCTATCTCTCTCTAATTTTATATATATATATATATATATATATATATAGTTTTAAGGTATGGTATATTTATATATTAAAGTGCTCAATATCAGGGATAGAGCGTATGTAAATATAAAAGTGGACATTGAAGTGAACACTCAGAGGTGACAGTCTGTTTCCTGCTAAACGCATGACGACAGCGTTTAAGAAGAGACAAACTGTCACTTCAATACCCACTTATATATATACATATACGATGGTTATTTTCAGTTTGTTTTGTTATTCTGACGACTATCAAATAGAATTAATCGTAGGCTGAAAGCAACCGGCTAAAACATACTAAATGCATTTAAAAACTATATAGAGAAAAATACAGCGTGAAAACGCGAGATTTGAAAAAAAAATAAATACTTAAAACATAGAATGACGAGAATGAATATATTTAGACACTTTCAGCACAAAAATAAGACCCTTTCATAATGTTTTATAAAAAAAAAGTGCTCTGAAGTTATTGGGGCATTTATGTACAAATGTTACCTGGGAATCAAGGAAGGTTTGGATTTCGTTTTTCGGAATTGAACAAGAGCTTCTGATTCGTTTTTATTTCTCTTGCAATATTTGAGCTGACCAAAACGCACGCACTCGCACACACACACACACACACACGCACGCACGCACGCAGACACACAAGCACGCATGCAAACATACACTAACACGCATACTCACGTACACACACGCACGCACACACATACATACAAACTATCTCTCTCTCTCACACGAACACACACAAATACACACTCACACATAGACCAGCATAAGCGCTTCATTTTTCGCAATTGAGCAAGAATTTCCCATTCGTATTTTTTGCACTATGTGTGTTGACTCTCTCTCTCTCTCTCTCTCTATATATATATATATATATATATATATATATATATATATATCACACACACAGAAGCACAAATACAAAGACATTTTTTCACACATGCGTGCACGCTTACATAGATAAACACATACAAAAATTCGCACTCATACAGACCCCCTCCCCCGACACACGAATTTCATTTCTCAGAATTGAACACGACTCATTTCTTTTGCTTTTGGAATATTTGAGTTGACTCTCTCTCTCTCTCTCTCTCTCTCTCTCTCTCCCCACCAACACACGCACACACACATTCATAAGCAGACACACACACAAACAGACACACGAGCATACACATGTGCGCGCGACATGGCTATTTCTTTCCTTTAGATTTTCTAACCACACAGCTAACTCTACATTTTCTTGCCAATGATCTTAGATAAAAGCAACGCAAAAAAGTAAAAGCGGCGAATAATCCCAAAAGACTTCCTTTCATCTGTTAATTTCCGTATACCACAGTCAGTGCCATTGTCCCTTCATGTACAGTATTGTTTTTCAATTACATTGATACGTAAATGGCTCTGTCTTTGAAACATCTATCTATCTATCTATCTATCTATCTATCTATCTATCTATCTATCTATCTATCTATCTATCTATCTATCTATGCGTTTGTGTGTGTGTGTGTGTGTGTGTGTGTGTGTGTATATGTCAGGTCGGATAATGGTTTTAGAAAAATTTGAAAGAACTCGGTTATGCTAGATTTTATATTTGATTTTATTATTGCCATGAAATAGCGTCTTTCAAAACTCGTTTACATATAAAGCAAAAAGTTGTTGAGAAGGAAAATAAATGAATAAAAATAAGATATACAAATAAAAGCAATTACAAAAAGAAACATAAAAATCCGTGAAGCATAATAAAAGGCAAAAAAAAAAAAAATAAAAGGCAAAAAAAAAAATAATAATAAATAAAAAATAATGACATGGCAAAAAAGCGGAAAATACGAATATGAACATTTTGGAAAATGAATTGTAAAGTCGTTTGTGTTTTTCAGCAGTGGCAATTTCCCAAACATGCCTTAGTCTGGCACAAGGCTAGACGTTCGGCGATATTGCTGATCGAATGTACAACATAGAAATAATGATATTTTAAAGTTGCTTTAAGTTAGGTACAATAGAGCAAGTAGGATACAACCTCAGCTTAGCTTAGTTTGGACCCCAGGAGCATTACTTGAAAAGTTTAGTTTAATCTGTCCCAAGGCGCATTAGTTGGAAAGTTTAGGTCAGTCATGGCCAACGGGCAATAGTCGAAAAGTGTAGCTTACTCTGACCCAAGGTGCAATATTCAATAGTTTAACTTAGTCTGGTCTAAGGTGCATTAAGTTGAAAAGTTTGGCTAAGTCTGGACCAAGGGGCAATAGTCGAAAAGCTTGGTCTGGCCCAAGGGACAATAGTCAATTGTTTTGCTTAGTCTGTTCGTAGGTGCAATAGTTGAAAAGTTCAGTTTACACTGACCCAAGGTGCAATAGTCACTTTTTAGCTTAGTCTGGCCCAAGATGTATAAGCTGAAAAGTTTAGCTTTCTGTGGCGCAAAGTGTATTAAAATGTTTAGCTTAGTTAGTCAATGTAGGTATTTGCTGGTCAACTAACCCGTCTTGAGCCATGGCTAGGTGTCCAGAGCAGTAGATCACTCGCAAGTACTTGTTTTGCTCTCCAGCAGGGCCTTGCAAAGCGCATTCTATATTCGCGTAGAAATATCAGGGATGAGTTCATAGAGCAGTGATTTAGTTGGAAATTATCTCCAAGAGCTGATAGCTCTCGGCATCTGAGTGTAGATTCCATCAAAATTGTATATATCAAGGGTTTCCGTTAATGTCCTAACAGTGGCACAATACATTAAAACCAACTCCACAGTGGCACGAATGAATCTTGAGGTTGTCTGGTAGATCAGATTTCCAGATTACATCTATTTTAATTAAGGTGGCGCAGGCTTTAGATATGCTAATTTTAACATCCTTTTCCGTAGAGTAGCTGTCTATATTTCTGAGATGAGGCATTATGTACACCATTTACATTGTTCAGACTATCATCCTCATATTCCATATTTATCACAACATTTCGGCCTTCTTCAGGTGGTTGGAATGTCGAACTGAACCCTTTATTTTTCTCGCTGGGGTAGATTGTTCTAGTTCCACGTGCCATGTCTAATGGATGTCAGTTATTCCCCTCTCCAAGGTCTCCACCGCCTTAACCAGGTATTGAACTCACACTCTTTGGGTCCCGACATGTGTCCTTGAGGAGATCTGTGTATGAATATTTGGGTATTATAAAACTAATGTCTTCAGCAATCATTTTGTATCAGTGCTCATATTGCAATTTTTGCTGTTATCGTTGCATTTTCTTTTACCAGAGCTCATATTGCAATTTGCGTTTTTATTATTACTGTTCTCTGGCACACCTTATTAGTGGTTCCCATATTGTATTCATTTCTATGCTTGGTCAGCTCAGCAGATTTTTGTGGCCTAGCATATGTGCTGATTCCTTAAGTTTACGAATTCATAAACTTAAGGAATCAGCACATATTGTTATCACGTTGTGATAAATATGGCAACGAAGATGAGGATGATAGTCCTAGCATCTTTTCCGTAGAATTTATTTAGCTTCCTAGGTATGTAAAAGATGCGACAGATTTTGATTTACCTGGGACAGTTTGTATTGAGCCTTGTTGGTCGAAGCTTATGGATTCAGTTTTAGAGACATTGACATAGAGTCCAACATCGTTAGCAACATCATTTTTCGAGATGACGGAGCTGTGGTACTGGTAATTGTGTATGCACTGATAGCTAGATCATCTGCATAATCAATATCGGTCAACCTTTTTGCAGGATATCGACTTGAGAGTCTTGGTGAAAAAGTAAAACCTATATGATGGTGTTTATCAAGTTAAGCTTTCAATACATAGTCAAGACTGATAACAAAGGGAAATGATGCAATGGTGTCATCCTGAAGGATCCCTGTTTTAATGTCCAACAAGCTAGTGCCCCTGTCTGTGAATGTAAGCAAAGGTTTGGTATTTCTGTATAGCATCATTATGATAGCCACACTCTTTCAGTGGGGAAGTATATATATATATATATATATATATATATATATATATATATATATATATAGTTTCATTGAATAATATAGACATATTATGTCTATTTTATAATAATCATTTCTGGCTACAATTTTTACCAGTGACCATATTTCAGTTTTTGCTGTTATCATTGCATGTTTTTTTTTTTACCATATCTCATATTGCAGTTTTCGTTGTTATTATTGCTTTTCTCTGGCACTCCTTATTACTGGTTCCCATATTGTATTCATTTCTATGTAAATAGTATACATAATACCTCATCTCAGAAATATAGATAGGTTAGTGATTTATTAATTCTTATCGTGGCACTGAAAAACAGATAATAATATCAGAAGAGATAGCGATGTAGATTTCAGCTGTTTTCAGGTTCCCGCCAACTGAATGTAATCCCTCCATTTTTAATTGAATGTTTTCCCTCCATTTTTAATTGAAGGATTCCAGGTATTAAGCCTGACCCAAACCACAATTATCTATAACAAAGAAACAGCTCATAGCATTAATTTTTTTTTTATTTCAAGAAAAATTGTAATAATATTTAATAGTTCTCTGTTGCTTGATATGTTATATATATATATATAACATAATATATATATTATCTGTTGTTTGATATGTTATATATATTGTTATATATTTTGATATATTTTGTTGGAACAAATATTCGTAGCATTTTTCAATTGTTGACGTTTCGTAGTCGTAGGCAAATCCTGTAAAAAGCCGAACCAATAAAAGACAAATCTTAACAAATTAAATTGTATCTATTTTCGCGTATGTTGAGCAAAGAGAACCATTGGATTTAAGCGATTTCATTTCACGTGACTGAAATTTATGACATATATACACTAGAGTTCAAAAGTTTGAAGCCATCCCCAGAATTAGCATCGGATGAATTTGGCAGAAGAGTGAAAAAAAAATAAAAATAAAAATAAAAAATAAATAAGAGCGCTTAGAGTCATTAAAAAAAGAATGGAATCAATTATCAATCCGAGAAACTTTTTCAATGAATGCCAAAAGATTGTGCTGCAGTAATGAAGGCTAAAGGAGGATATTTTGACGAGAGCAAAATTTAATTATAAAATGTTTTTTTTTTCAAAGTTTCTAATAAAAATATCATGTTCCACTTTTTTTTTTAAACATGTATAATAATTTTCTCTTATTTAAAGTACAAAACAACTATTTTTTGGGTCAGTTTAAAGAATTACTAGGTGTTTCCTCAAACTTTTGAACTGCAGAGTACATATTTTGAAAAGTGAAATTTCAACGCGTCCTAATATACGATTCTTGTGTTGATTGTCAATTTTAAATGTTTTTGTATCAAAATAGTAGAAAATGAAGGGTATTTTCGTCTTTTGATTTTTTTTATTTCTGAAAAAAAAAAAACTGGACAAACAGCAAAAATAATATGTGCCCTTTATGGAGATGGTGCCATAGCTGAGACCGAACGTATTGTTTATAAGTCGTTCGCAAGATTTAAAAAGTGGATATTTTGAGTTGGCGGACTGAGAATGTTCAGGCTGGTCTGAAATGATTGTTACGGTTTTTTGGGTATATACCGTACATAACTAGTGAGCGAGTCAGAATGACTTATTTCCTTTATAGTCGACCAATAGAAGGTTGACCAATCATTTTTTAAACGCCCAACACTGTATTCATAGTGTATAAAGGTGGCCATCTTGTTTCCTCCTACCGGAAGGACCAAAGGCGACCAGGAGAAGGATGAACTACACTCTGCTGTGATATCCACCAGAACCTCCACTACGCTTTCCCACTGTCTCCGAAATATTCACTGCCAACCTCTGGATTCGATACTCGAGGACGACCGTCATGAAAATGTCTAACAATGATTGATGATGACAAAATTAAATCAACGATTAAAAATAAGCAAGCTCTTACGACAGGGGATATCGCAGCGATACTCCAAATATCTCACTCGTTTGAAAACAATTAACTACGTCTATCAATACGATGTTTGCGTGTCTCATGGTTTAGCAGTAAATATTAATGGGCAATGTTTTCATCTGCGATTCTCTGCGAATTAAAACTGGCCATGTTTTTAAAAGAAAAGAACGATCACAGGGGATGAAAAGTTGGTTGTTTATAACAGTGTTGGGCGAAAAGAAAATCTGGTAAGATTGGAAAGGCATTGTGCACCTCAAAATCAAATGTAGAATCTATACAAGTACTCTTGCCAATTGGATTAATTAAAGGTAGCAATAGAAAACCATCAGGAGCAGATAATTTCCAGGAAATATCCAAATTTCTTGGAGGATGTAATTATGAAACACCCCCAAAGATGAAGAAATTAGAAAATGATACATTTTTTAAATCGTTTAAGCAAGGCGACAATGCCACGCGTGCGCAGTGTGTCACAGAAAGTGAAAGTGAAAGTGAAAGAGAATGAAAATGGCGTTATTGCGAAAAGGACCCAAAAAGAGTCCAAGAATATGCTGATTGACGTTGCATTTAAATTTCTGCAGATTTTAGTTATCAGGAAAGCAAGAAATTGTTAAAGTAGGAATGACGGTTGCATTTAGCTCGTT